AATCAGAAGTATAGACTTGATACCCATACCTTGAGTCTACCGGGACTAAAAACTGTTGAAATCTTTTCACTTGCGGTCTGACCGAAGAACCTAACCTATTCACAGAAAAAAATGGAATTCAAAATCAAACAAAAAATTCATAAAGCCAAGTATTTTTTTTACTAAAATAGGACCTATCACGAAATTCGTAAAATCAAGTACTCAAATTCGTAAATTCTTTATTGAAAAAATTTCAGGATTTTTCTTATTAAAATAATATACTATTTACGAAAAACATTAATAAATAATCGCAACATTTCCAAACAATTATTTTACTGAAACAATAACACAAGTTATTAGTATTTGTACTGAAATTCAAGCAAATATGTTATCTGAAACAGTTAAATTATTTATTGTATTTTGGCAATAATAATAAGAAAATTTTTTATTGAATCTATAAAAATTTTGTTAAAAAATATATACAAAATTTTAACAAAAATTTTACAAAAAATATTTAAAACTAAAAGTAGTAAAAAAATTACATATATACAACATTTTTAAGAAAACGTTTCTAATTCTAGAAACTATTATTTTGTACTGTGAAAACTGAAACACTTATACATTAAATGTTATAAACCAAATAAGAATTATATCAATTCATTTTAGTACATTCCAAAACTGGTTTTATTGTTGTATTCCATATGCTGACATAAAAATAAAACTCAAACAAAAACATTTATTGAATCAGTAAAAATATTTACTGAAAGTTAAATTTATTTCAATAAAGTGTTTGTTAGAAAATATTTTCCTTCTGTGTGAACATCAAACAAATTCGTTATAAACCCAAATAAAAATATTTATAAAAATCGAAATTAAATTTAAGCAAACGATTGTTAAGAAAAAAATTGTGCATATTTTTTTCTGTGTTTGATATGAGGGGGATCTAAACCTCGGAAAGTAAATGTTAGTTTAAAGATTTATGATGTTTCGGAACTGTGTTTTAGACTTCTCAAAAGAACGACCTTGGAACTAAATATTGGTAGTGAGTTGATATCACAGAAATTGTATGTAGAATGAATCTGTAGTGGGCGGACCTCTTACCCAAGTAGATGTGCCGGATGTTTGGTAAATGGTAATGGATTCCTATTCCATTCTATATCCATGTATTGTCAATACAATTTTCATCTTTTTCAGATTAGGTTTCAGAGTTTACTCTGTTGATACTCTGTTCATATCCGAAGTGTTTAAAAAACGATGTTTTGGCTTATTAATGAAGATCGTACTTCGGTCTAGCAAATAGGTGCCTCTGTCAAAATAAAGAAGGTCATGGCAGCAATGTTTTTCAGTGTGACTGAGTTTGCTTTCGGCGAAGGCTTCAGATATTATCTGAAGATTGCCGAACATTCTACAACGGAACTATAATGGTCCGAGATTATATAAGTTCTTTTACATAGTACGCCGTCAGTTATGCTCAAGAGTTGAAAAACTTATTCCCAAGATTAATCGCCTCTTGCTTACCCTGTGGTTGAAAAAGACCACCGGGAGCATCCTTCAGAAAATCAGTTTATGAACAATTTTGTATTAAGAAAAAGATCAATAACGTTGTAAATTTCTAACGGATTTTTTTTCATGACATGGGTTTCTAATCAATTAATAAATAGAAAGGTTCCTATATAAAATACTTTCAAAAAACATCTCCAAACTTGAACAACGGTGCAAAACTTAAATAAAAAATATGTTTGCTGATGAAATTCACACATATCTCTCCAGGTTACTTAAACGTTATATATGTCATTATAAAGGCCTCAGCTTCTGCTTTCTAAATCCGTGGAGAAACTTAAAATCGGTCCAGATTTAACTAAGTTACTGACTTATAAGTGCCTAAAGGTATGAAAAACCAGGTTTTTACCCATAACTAAAGATTTTGGAGGTGTTTGCCAAATTTCAAAAACATATTCTTGTTCTACTCCCATTCACCTTTCAGAAAAATAGTATAACTTCCCAGGTATTTCAATTTTCGTTTATTTTGTCTCACTGTGTTATCTAAACTGTTGACTAAGAAGTAATAATTCTAAAAATACAATATAATTTCCGATCATCTAATTAGCGACCGTTTCTGATTCTAATTTGAATTCTCGAGTGAATTGGAACCTGAACTTTGAGAGAGGGTTAATGGTTTCTAAAATACAACATATTTTCTGATCATGTAGTGAGCAAACAAATTCGATCGTTTCTGATTCTCATTTCATTGAAAGTTCTCCAAATTCTCAAATATTACATAGAAAGATCACTACATAAGATTTTGCAAACTTTTAATAAAATCTAGATCTCTTTTATGATTGTATCAAAATATCTTGGTGTGCGCACTTGTCCCTAGGCTTTAATGCCAAGATACAAGTTATTCGAGACCCATTATATAATAAGCTTCTGTATTGATCTAGCGACCTAATAGAGGGTGTAAATTTCCGTCTGGAAAGCGTTAGGAAATTTAAAAGAGAACAAAAACCATCTGAATTTATGAGCCGCCAGTGTTATCAGAGACCTCTTTTTTCCCAAAGAACACTGTTGAAGTTATGTAAGCTAGTCAATCCTTGTAAAAATTTCGATTCTTAAGCAGACCTTGTTAGATGATTAATATGTCTAAGATTGTTAAGAAATTAAAAACAACCTGGAATCAATTGGTGAATGATGTCCTGAAATTACAAACTTTCAGCCATTTTAAACCTTATTATGAAGCAAGTTTTCATGTTTTGCAAAGTTTCTTTAAAATCGTGATTTTTTCAAGATTTTAAAGAAATTATTAGTAACAAAGATCATAATAATTATCTTATTATATATTTTCTATAACTAATAATTCTCTATTTTTTTGTTTCATTACAGGTAAGCATTTTGTCTATATGGCGCCTAATCCTTACAAAAAAACACATATTTTGTGCCTGGCTTCTTCTACATGTATCTCATTTGTTTCATCATTTGTAATATTGTGCTAAAAAAAAGATAAAAATCGCGTTTTTTCTTAGTTTAATAAAGCAACCATAAGTTCCTAAATTCGGTAAGTGTTTCTTAGGAAAAACCCACCTAGACGGGGTGCCCTTAATAAGAAAACAGTTATGTGATCCCTATACTAAAATTTTAATGGAAAAACTTGAACAAAATCAAAGTAAAAGCAAAAGGACTTGCAAATCTATAGAAAAAAGTTAGTTGTCTCAAACTAATATTAACAATACCTTAATCTCTTCAAGATGAGCTTTGAGAGACATCATGACTTCCGATAAATATTGGACAAAATTTTTATTGTTTTAATTTGTAATAAAAGTCCACTTTTATACATTTATTTTTTTAAATTTCTATACACAAATTTCTTTGCTTAATTTCAAAACTTAATGAAATACTTTATACTAAACTTAAACATCTATAGATATTTAAATTTTAAGTAAAACTTTTCCAAAAATATCATAAATTTAAAATTAAATAAATTTTAAGCAATAAAAAAATTTCTAAAACCGAAAAAAATCAAACTAATTATTAAACTAATCAAACTTTAAAATTAGGATTTGAAACATAAAAACCTTGTTTTAAAAACCCCAAAACGAACTCAAAACACTTAAATCACACTCAATTTAAAAGCTAAACTAAACAAGTAAAGAAATCACTCAATAAAGAAAGCTTTCTTTTTTTGTACTTCTAAAAATAACTTTCACTCACAGCTTGTTACAACAAAGCTAAAGCCACTAAATTAACATAAAACTACACTCACTCTCACTCTCACTCTTAATAGCAACTAAAAACTACAACAATAAATTTTAGCACAAAACAAACAAAAAGAATTAAAACAAAAACCAAAACAAAAGTAACGTAATATGTATAAAAAAACAGTAAGCACACTCATACAACACGACAAACCAACACTCATACGTAAAAACAAATGCTTCCGCATGCTACGGCTGCTGTAATAGTAACGAATGAGAAAAAAAAGTTTCCCACAATGATTTGTAAAGCACAACAGCTCAGCCCCACTATATAGTGGAGAAGAAGAAGCAGTTAAAAAAAAGCTTAAAATTATTACCAGTATGAGCAAACAATTTGCTTGGGGATGTCGTTTGTGTGAGTCTGTGTGTTGGCTCCCTACAAACAGAGAGCGAAAAAGCTTTACACTTAAACTGAGTTAATGATAGTTATTTTAGCCAAAAGCAAAAGCAGTAGCCTGAGTAAAAACTAAAAATATGTTTTTGGTTTTTGATCGTGTCGAGTGAAAGAAAAGAAATGCACAACTTATTATTGTATATATAAGCTGGTTTAAAGCAGAAGTTAGAAGGAATGTAATCATTTAAGTGAGACATATAATGAAATTTTACAATTTATATTTCTCTGTTGGTATGTTACGCAAAGTAATAAGTATACTCGTAGAACCAAGCGATTGATTTGATTAATTTGTGTCACTTACCTACATACTCATATAATAAGATATCTGATATGTGTGGTATTGTATAACTATTGCAATAACTGTTACTGTGCTCAACATATATCCTCTAACCTCATGTCATGGAACGCATTTTAATTTGACAAAATATTGTCTGAATTAGAAAAAAGTTCCTGAAAAACTTAACGTGAGGGCCTACCTTGGCGGTCTAAGTCACGAGGGTCTTTTTCACAACGTGAGCTAGAGAAGACCTTCAGCCCCCTTTTTTCACTTACAAATAACATGTAAATGGTCCGTTTCCACCAAAGAATATGCGGCAATATTTAGTCCTTGTCTGAAGCCTTTCTCGACAATATACACACATCAGCACTGTTGGAATGGCCCCTACACAGAGGGAAAAAGACATATACATGCCTGGTACCAAATTGACACCAAAGAGTTTATAATTTTTCAATAACAGCCGTTGTCAAAGTATATATACTATTGGCAACGTATTGTTTGTCAATAGTGAGCTTACCACGTTTGTTAACATTTAGACAACGGATGTGTATACAATTTAGATTTCGACAACGAATTTTTGCAATGTTGTCAACATTACATAGTGTTGTCGTACGTATGTATATACTTTGACAACGGATGGTATTGGGAAATTATAAACAGTTTGGTGTCAATTTGGTATCAGGCGTGAATATATCTTTTTATATATATTTTCTATATATTTCAACTCATTCTCAACCCTCGTGTCAATCATCTTTGGTCTCTGTTGATTCGGCACCAGCTCCGGAAACTTATCGTAAATTACACCTTGTATCAAGCTACATTGTATTCCCAGCGATTTGATTTTTATTCTGGTGCAAAACAAATTATATGAACTTCGAGTACTGGTCAATTCGCGAGTCAAATAGTTCCGACATGTCATTTTACCTCTCCGATCTTAGTAACTCTATATTCCATTATTACAATAACATCAAAATGACTATGTTTTATCAAGGTAACATGCCTCGGAGTTAGAATAGTGCTTAACGGCTCCCAAATGATGGTCCGTGGACTATTGCGGTTCAGCAGCAACATGGCAGGCAATCCGCTAAAAAAAGAAATTTGCTCTAATTAGAGGAAATTGCTTTTCAACAAAATCATCCAAAATAAAAATTTCTGGAGATTTTCGTTTCATTTCTTGTGGAACCTTAGTGACGAAAAAACTCTGCTTTCGTCCAGACTGTAGAGTTTTGCATGGTCTGGAAGTGAACAAAAGTTTTTTAATTCTATTGACCTGCAAAGGATAAATCGGTTATAAATGCTGGACAATTTCAGATATATTTTAATATAGTAATGCCGTAGTAAATCAGGCTTACAAGTTCGATATCACAAATATTCTTAAATCGCTTAACTTTTTCTTCAAAAAGTGGAATTGTTTGCGAAGTTGGCAGTTGAGAGATGAGTTTCTTTTGTTCGTTATGAGATCTTATAAGGTCCGTAGAATACTGTAGGCTAATATTCCGTTATATTAAGGAAATTCCAGTTTACAAGCAAATATTTTAATGAGAATATGTGAATGTACTGCTCCTCGTAAAGGAAACACAAGACTCGAAAAAGCTCTAACAAAGTAAATAGCAACTAGATGATATAAGAACTAGAAAAGTTAGCAATATCAGCAAATTAAAGATTCTGTTAACATAAAGGCAAACTATCAGGAACAAAGTCTGGACGGGCGAAATATTACTCAAGAAAGGCGAACGGTATTGATTCGCATTTCTAGTCCTATTGAAGAAAAGTTCAAGGAAAAGAAAGGTCAGATCTTTCACAATTGTCTCTCAATCAAATGGTTCAAATCAGAGAAGAACCAGAAAGATAGTGGGCCAAAGCTTTAAGCAAAATTATATATCATCAAACTGCTCTTACCAGATTGAGGTTCTATACAAAACTCAGAAATTCTCTAGAAAAGCTTTTTACTAGCTTTACTTATATCGCATGATTTAACTCCTTTAAGCCCCGCTCTTTTTACTATACAAACTAAAAGCGGGAGAAATAAAAACACAAAAACCGAAAAGAAAGAAGACCTGACTGATAAAATTATAAAAACGATATTGGTGAGTGTATTTTTGTTTTCAGACAATTTGAGTGTGTGTCACTCAAGTCAGCAGCGGTATTAATAAAGCGTTTGGTTTTTGGTGTGCGTTTTTTTTTTTTTTTGTACTAGTTGTTGTTATTGTCTTTCTTTCTTTGGGGTTTTGTTGTGCTTTTGTTTTGTTTTTAAGTTGGGTTTTCAAAACGTATACCCTCTGCACACTATAGTGGGCTAAATGGCTGTGGCTGGTTGACGGGATGGTTGGTTGTTTGCTTGTTTGGCTGTCTAACTGAATGAAGAGCATTAAGCGTTTTTAGTCAACATATGGACACTCACTCTTAAAGCGTTTAGCAACGTTACCGGTGTTATTAACGGACTTGGATTTTTTTAAACCCGCTTAAACAAAAAAATAATAACGATATCGTGGTTTCAAATTTTTTTTAAAAAAGCAAGAAACGTTATGGCAAAAAAATAATCAAAAGAAAAGTTTTAATATTGAAATAAGTTAAAGAAAAACGTGTGATTAAAAAAGTTTTTTTAAAAAAGAAATTTTGATAAAAATTTTAAATTTTATAAAAGAAGTGATATATTGTTTTTTAAGAATTATATTCAAATAGATAAAAAAATAATGATCTCATTTAACATTAGAAATATTTTAAACAATCTGTAGCAAAATTTTATATAGAAAAAAATACATTAATCACGAAGCATTTGACAAAAATAAAAGTGTTTAGAATTCTAAGAGAATCGTTAAGAAATATACTAAATAAAATTAAAATTCAAAACTTGCTTGAGAGTCGTGTAGAAAAGTAGACACCTTTAAATAAAACCCGAATAAATGTTCTACTTAAATTGATTTTTTAAATATTGTTTCAACAAAAAAAATTTTTAACAAAACCAAGGTTAAACTTTTGCATAAAAGTTTTAAAAAATCTGTGCATATAATTAAACTTGAACCAGAAATTTAGAAATTTTTTTAAACAAAAAGAGTTCAACAAATAAGTTCTTAAAAAGTGTTAAAGTTCGTTAAAGCTTAAAGCTTGTTAACAAAAAATTAACTTACAATTGAGACAAACAAAAAAAGTAATAAGAATCTGTAATTGAACGTGTCTTTTATTTATGAATGAATTTTCCATGTTGCAGTATACGAAATTTATTTCCGTGTAATTTAGTTTTTTTCTGGTTTAAATTAAATGAATGAATGTGCGTGATTTATCAATGAGAATGGATTATCAATTGCCACCGCAAACTTTACAGTTGGCCAGCAATGCAGTGGTGGGCAGCTTAATGAACAGCAGCAATAATGCGCTAACACAACAGCAGCTTAATCAACAACAAAATGCTCAATTACAGCTGCTGCAACTTAATCATCATCAGCAACAACAACAGCAGCAGCAACAACAACAACAGCAACTTGTGAATAATCAACAGCAACAACAGTTGCTAAATCATATGACTGCTGGGCAACAAACCTTGCCCTCTTTAAGTAGTCTACCCCTGCAAGTTGTTAATCAATTGCCACATTTATTGGCCAATAATGCTGTAACACTAAACAGCAGCAGCAATAATAACAACAACAACAATAATGCAAATATTAATAATTTAAATATACTCAATAATAATTTAAACAACACATCCTCCGCACTCAACAATAACAACAACAACAACTCAAACAACAATAATAATTCAGCGCTTAATACAAATCTCAACTCCAATACCCCCAACAACAACAACAATAATAGTACGAGCAATAATGTTTTACTACGTAATACCATGCAACATGTGGCAAATGCCAATCAACAATTGCAACAAACAATTAATAATTTAAGTAATAATTTGGTTTCCTCTCTACCACCCAGTAGTCAATTGTTGCAACATCATTTACAACATTTAGCCAATGTACAACTCAACAACAACAACAGCAATAATAACAGCAACAGTTCTTCCCCCAGCAATAATAATACTGCCAACAACAATAACAATAATCTTTTGCTGAATAACAACAACAACAATCCCTCCACACCAAATAATAATCTTGCCACACATTTAAGTGACAATGTAGTGGCTCACAATATTGTCAATGGTCTGGTGGGTGTCTTAAATAATGTCAACAACAATGTTGGCAACAACAACAGCAACAATGGCAGCAATAATACGAATTTAACTAATAATGCTTTAAATAATACGGTGAATCAAAATTCTGCGGCAAATAGTATAGAAGACAACAATCGCTGGACTCAATTTCAAGTGCAACAATTGTGGAAACAACATGCTTCTTATTTGAATGGTATGATTAGAATAGTAATGAAGGGGAAGGGGTTTTTAAAATGAAATCAATAAATTTGTTAATCACCAACTGCAGTCCAAAAACAGGGTGCAACATAGAAATCACTTGCAAAGAAGTGAAGTTGAAGGGTGAATTTTAAATTTCGAAGGTTTTCCTATATTGGAAGATCTCTGAATTATTATGGGCTCTACTAATAAGTAAATTAAAAGTCATGCTTTTAATACAATATCTATATTGACCACGTTAAAGGGTCACGTCGTTTTTGTCAAATATTTGCTGATTAGGATTAAGATTATGATGTTTGCCTCCAGTAGGTTAGTTAGCCTGTTTACTAGCTTATTAGTCCGGAGGTCGTGAGTTCGATTCCCACCAGAGGCTCTGGTAAAAGTGCAAAGATAGTGGCAAAGGTGTGTTTCTTTGGATATGATTAAGATTAAGAAAAATGTCTTCAGAAGGAATGGAAACAATGACTTCCCAGAAGCACTTCTTTGGAAGTAGTAAATATGCGATTAGCTTAGAAGTTCTAGAAGTTCAATATGATTGACTTCAGTTTATGAACTTCAGATTTGATAAGAATTACTTATACAGGAAATCCATTTACATAAATTGTCTTCATAAGATGTAATGAAAAATCACTTCTTTGGAAGTGATGAACATGCAGTTCACATGCAAAATACTTTAATATAATTGGGTTTAGTTTTAAAGTTGGAACTGTGTTAAGAACTGTTCCTCTTTATCAGTTGAATATTCTTTTATACATATTCTATTGTATGTAATGAAAAATCGCTTCTATGGAAGTGATTTTCATTTTATTGAAACTTCTAAAAGGTTCATAGAATTTTGCTGCAGTTTTTACTTCCATGCTGGGTATACTGTTCAGGTTCTTCAAAGCTTGCATTTCTTTGAAATCTACTAGAGTTGCCTTACATCTTTGGGTTACGATAGTGTCTTCGTGATTTACGATCCGGCTTTATTTTTGTCTAATAATTAATTTAGAGAATGGTTATAGGTACCTAGGTAATCCGATGAGATAAATCCCTAATATCTCGTCTGTTTACTATAACTTTTAGGCTAAGACGAGCCGGGGAATATAACCAAATGAGATAAATACTTTGTCTCTAGATCTTTTAGTGGTTAATTAGGGGAAATTATGACAACGGAAGTAATCCGATGAGATATATTTTACAGCTCTCAATCGGCGAACTGAGAATAGCTAGGAAGTAAAATACGACGATGTAAATACATCGGTTCTCTGTCGGCTAATGACTAATTATATAAAAATACGACTAGGTATGCAATCTGATAAAATAAATTCTTCAGTTCTCGTCGGTAATCTATGACTGCCTAAGACTAGCTAATGAATACAATCCGCTATAAATAGGCTTCTGCTCTTGGTGGACTATGTTAGGTATTGATAGGTTGACAATACAGCATTTCTTGGTTCTTAAGTTGACCCCTTTGTAAAAGAAGACAATAATAATATCTCCTCAGTTTACTATGACTTAAGACGAGTCAGGGAATATAATATAGCGTGATAAATACTTTGGTTCTCGATCTTATAGTGGTTAATTTGGGGGGAAATTATGACTACGAAAGTAATCCGATGAGATATATTTTTCAGCTCTCAATCGGCGAACTATGACTGAGACTAGCTAGGAGTAAAAACGACGATGTAAATACTTCGGTTCTCAGTCGGCTAATGACATGTGCAATACGATGAAACAGATTCTTACGTCGGCTATCTATGACAGCCTAAGACTAGCCATGGAATACAATCCATCTATAAATAGGGCTTCGGGTCTTGGTGGGATAGTTTAGATATTGACAGATTGACAGTGCAGCATTTTCTTGGTTCTAAAGTTGATCCATTTATAAGAATACCTGTAACAGACAGAAGGAAAGGAGAGAGAATAAAACGACACACATGTCATTGAAATAGAGACGCAGTAAGTAGTTCCAATTGAACATTAGATAGATCCGACAGATCATTGACCTAGGTCGAACACCTAGAGTTCGGTTTCGAACCATTTCTAGCACTGGACAGTTTACAGAAAAGATGGACTACAGTTTTCATTCCCATTTTGACAACTTCCGTGGAAATGATTATAAAGATGATCAATGCGTTGTGCTAAGAACTAAAAGCGCTCAATCGGCTAATGATGAATTGGTTTAAGACTAGCTATTGTGTATAATCCTACGAGATAGGTCCTTCGGTTATAGGTCGGTTAACTACTTCTGATGAATGGTTAAGACCAGCTATTGAGTATAATCCGACAAGATAGATCCTTCAGTTATAGGTCGGTTAACTACTGGTAGTGACTATCGTAACTGCACAGTAGAAAATATTGCAGATTTCCGACAGTGACTTATACTTATTTTATTCACAGTGACTATCTGTCAAACTGCACTAATCTGACATTTATTACAAAATCGATAAAGATTAAAAATCCTTAATGATTTTTATTTCTGATTATAATTTCCTCAATTTTTCCAATAATATTACCTAGTAAGCGTTTATTTGAAACCTTTTAAAAAGAAATTGTTGACTTAACCGAACAATGTAACTAATACCGGGAAGTAAAACATGCTGAAAATAAAAAATATAGAAAAAAAACCTTCACTACCCAACATACATAGATGTCAAAGTCAAAGACAAAACAGGCTTAAATTGATTTATTGGTAACAGAAATCAAGCAACAGCAATATGAGCAAAAACAAAAAACAATAAAAAAGAAATGTTTTCAGATGTCTTTTAGCCAAAATAATGGTTTAAACAAATGTTAAGACAATTTTTGAAACCAAGCAGACTTAGAGGGACAGACAAACGAAAAGTAGTTTATTACTTTTACAAGTAACAAACCCAAGATTATCAAGAAAACTAAAACAATCACCTTCACCATGACATTTTTTTGGTCTTATGAGGGGAATAATATTGTTGGTGGGTTTTTTTTTCAACCAATAAAACTGAAATAAATTTTTATTTTAACAAAATAAACCAATAAATGTCAACCCAACATTCACAGTAAAACCAAATTACTACAACAACAACAAGACAAAACACCCAAAAATTATGGTCTAAAAGAAATTTAGCAAACAACCGAAAGACAACAGACAGAAAGTCATACCAGTCATTCATTGATACAATAAAATTTAAAGGGTTTATAACAACCAAACAAACGAACAAACAGACAAATTCACTTCACATTTCTTCACACAAACACTGGCGTTTTGAAAACGACAACAACAACAAATAACAACTTTCGATTTTATTTCATGTTGAGCCAGTTTATTTAGTGTCAATAATTGTATGATCTTGTAGTTGTCATTAAATATAGTTTTTTTTTAACATATTAAACGTCATTTTTGACATTTGTTACTTTTTAACAAAATACTACTTTTTTATCACTAAATGTTTATTTTTTTTTTTTTTACTTTTTTACTTTTAGCTTTTTTTTTTTTTGATTTGTTTATCTTTTAAAAACTATCTTTTATTTTTAACATGAACTTCAACTTAACCTACCTAAATAAACGTCATTATTGTTATTGTTGTTGTGTGACTTACCTGTCTTTTTTTAAGCTGCCAATTGAGCAGCACACTGCTCCCAACTTAAGTAATTCGTCGTAATTCTTCTCCCTTTTAAATGCCAGTGTTTTATTTCCAAAATGATGTTTAAGAAGAAAATTTCCTCAATGTGAGCACATTTTTACTTT